CCATCATCCTGAAGCAGCCAGTTTGACAGAACAGTGGGGTGACCTTTCTATAATACAGTTTCTATGTCAGCTGGGTGTCAATAGTCTGCAGGCTAGGGCAGAGCTCTGCAGAAGGCTGTACAGGCTCTGAATCAATATAGACTATGGTTTCTCCTGTAGCCAGGATTCACAGGTTTAGGAATCAAGAAATGGAGATGAGAATGGTACCACTCACCATCACCTCTAGTGTCTCCTTGGCTCTTATTGTTATTATTATTAGTAGTATTTTAGGTTTTTCAAGACAAAGCCTCTCTGTGAAGTCCTGGCTGTCCTGTAGATCAGGCTGTCCTCAAACTCAAGAGCTCCACCTGCCTCTGCCTCCCAGGTGCTGGGATTAAAGACATGCTACCGAGCCCAGGTCCTGTTAGCAAAAATTTTGCTTCCTATCGTAAGGCCTTGTGCTGTGCTGGTTTAGAAGTTTCTAACAAGTGTTTCTAACAAGAGACAAAACCACGACATTCCAGTGAACTGGAATCTGAGACTTCGCCCTTGCCCCCTTGGGTATCTGATGCTCTACAGTCAACAGGATAAGAGTTATGGTGCTGGCAGGCATGGCTGATCCTGATTACTGGGGGGAAATTGGACTGCTCCTCCAGAGGACGTTTGGAGTACAGGAGATCTTCTGTGCCCTGATCTGAAGCCCCAGAAGGCTAATGAGGACAGCACTGGGAGCCCACGTGTTTCCCAAGGCTTGCTCACCCCTGGCTCCTGGCCTATGGCCTGGAGATACTGTGTGACTTTGGTCCCTGAAAAGACATTCTTCATCCTTCTGGTCGACTCCCTAGTTGTGTGTGCTTAATCTTGTCTGAGTGGAGGCAGCCAGAGAAATGAATGGGCTGCACGCCACAGCTCTGTGGTGGGACTAAGAGGGTGGTGACAGATCCTCTGACTGGTCTGCTTGCAGGATTTGATGTGGGTTTTCTTGGCTAGAGTATGAGTCTTACTTGGTGAGAACAGTTGGTTGTTTTCAGGTTTCCCTGGTGTAGCATCCTTTGGGAACAGACTCAGGAGACTCAGGGGTCGTCATTAGGCTGGTGTCACGATGCCCAGAGAGCTATCTGTGCTGCTCGGAGCGGCAGGTGTCACCCTCTCACAGAGGACATACCTGTCCCATGTGCCTCCTGTTCTTGACACTGTTGGTCTCTCAGGGGCTGCTATTTCCTGTTGGCTAGGCAACACTTGTTTAGAATTAAATTAGAAGCGATGCTGAGTGCTAGAGAAAAGGCAGTTAGATGAGTTAAAGCGGCAGAAGGCTGGCAGGGTGATGGGGTCAGGGTAGCAGGGGCCTGCTTTTACTCAAAGCGTCTCACTCTCTCCCCTGACACGTTAAAATCTATGCTGCACACTGCACAGATCTAGCTGCGATACCCAGACCCCACTCTTGAAACTATCTTAATGCCAGCCTGGCTTCTCTGCTGAGTTAATTATCGGATTTTTCTCGTGACCTCATTCCATTTACTCTGTGTGTTTTTAATCGCACAGGCCTATGGTGTAACTTATTTCCCTTAGAAGCATTCATTTTTTCCACCTATTTATTGAATTCTTGCTACGTGCAAGGCATTTTTACATAAAAATGGTCTGTGTAACTCTCCATTTTGTGTCATGGGTTGGATAGTTGTTACGTAATCGATACAGTCACTTGGAGTTGGCAGTTCTGAGAATGTACATACTCTAAAGAACGTTCAAAGTCCTGAGGTCTAATAGTTGAATGTGTCAGTCTTCAAAATGCCCTCGTTTGCTTTTGGCTTGGGCCAGACAATGGTAGATTGAAAGCAGAGAGTGTGTCAGCCTGAACAGCTTGTTCGTTCATCCAGAAATATGTTGATCACTTAGTGATGTGTTATAGGAGACAGAACAGCTCAAAGAGGTAGATGGCCGCAGTGAGCAGGGGTGGGTGATACTTTCCAGTGGCCTGCACCCCTGAGAAAGTTCTTGAATGGGACTTTTTGAGGCTTAGCAGCTTTAAATTTTGCATTAGCGGAATCTGTTACGTCCCCGGGTGTTCACTGCAGTACCCTTTGAGATAGCAAATGTCTGACAGGAACTTGTTCAGCAAATGCAATTGTTCCTCTGAGTCAGTGTGCAGCTGGTTCTAGGACTCCTTTGGCCACCCAGATCCTTATACTTATGTCCTTTCCATAAAATTATGTGGGATTTGCATATGGCCTACACACACGTTCTGGAACACTTCAGATTATCCCAAGATTATTTACAGTATCTAGCATAGAAGCCATCTGAATAGTTGTTATTCTGCTTAGAGATAACAAGTAAAACATCTGCGCATGCTCAGTACCCAAACTACTCCCCTACTCCAGATATTTCACCTGTGGTTGGTTGAATTCTTGTAGAGAACCCCCAGATATGAAGGGCTGGATATATATGACTTCACACTGCTGCGTAGGCTGTTACTTGGGGCCCGCACACTCCCGAGGTTTTTCTGCTTCCCCACACATTAAAGTTTCCCGGCCCCCAGCAGCTGCCACCTGCCCAGGAGAGCATCCTGGAGCCCTGGGAGGTCCCTGGAGGACACGCCCAAGCAGCTTGAGCTCTATTCCCCAATACTGATGTTCTTGTCTATCCTCTGTGGCTAAGGCACTAAGTCAAACGTCCAGGAATCACTCTTCAGGTGCACTGAGGGCCAAGGAGGCCACCACTGTCAGGGGAGAGCTGGCATCAAAGTGGCAGCGGGCCTGGCAGACGTGTGACAGGCTAGAACAAAGAAGCCTCTAGTGGTGGGCTAGAGTGTAGCAGCAAACTTTCCCTGCAGTGGCCTTGGAGGGAAATATGTGTGTTCCAGGAGACAGAAGAGCTAAAAGAGGTAGAAGGACATGGTGAGGATGGAAAGCAAGAATGGGGTGCAGAGTAGACCAGACCACCTTCAAAGGCAGCACAAAAATCAGCAAGTAGGTCCGCATAGATATAGAAATAGGCCCAACAGGCACAGAATGATCCTTGGGTGAACTCAGGGATAGGAGAACCCCAATGCCACTGTGCTCTGTGGGTGTGAACCATTGAAACTTTATGACTCCTGGGTAAAGGATGACACAATTGTCCTGTAGTCAGAGCAAACCCTAACCACTGTATGTATGCTGCTTCCTTCACACCTATGAGGAAGTCTAAGATATAAATTGGGTGCTTTGTGACTTATAATAGGACAATTATTATAGTATACTGTAATATGTTGATATTCTCTTTCTGTCTTTTTTTTAAAAATTACTTTTAAAATTAGAAGTATATGAATAAATCCGCGTGTGGGAATATGCATGCAGGCACGGAAATCCCGAAGGTGTCGGAGTCCCTGGGGCTGGAGCTCTTAGGTAGCTGTCAGTAGCCTGACCTGGGTGCTGGAAACCACATTCAGAACACCTAGAAGAGCAATGTCTCAGCCACTGGGCTCTCTCCAGCTCCTCTCAAAATATCTCATGGTGCCAACCTCCTTCCTGTGATGTGGCCTGGTCTACTGCTGCATGAGATGTAAGTGAATGCCACGGGCACTGAGACACAGTGGTAGGCTAGTCTTGACCTCATGGGTGTTTTAAGAACCAGCACGAGGCCATGGCAATGCTCATGGACCTCCACGAACTGAAATCACATTACCAAAGCTCTAGATGAGAGGTCCCACCATGGTCCCTGAGAGCTGTGGTGAGAAAACACCCAGCCCTGTTGCCTGGCACATGGGAAGAAGGAAACATCTCCTGCACCAGCCATCTCAGGAAAGGCTATCATACCCCAGGCCCCCTGTGCTGAAGACGAGGCAATCGTGGAGGTCCTGTGAGCGGGAGTTGGCCAGGCTGGGGGCAAGCAACAGGCGTCCAATTGCAGGACCCACTAGTTCTCCACCCAACAGGACAGGTATGAAACCTTGCCACACAGCTCATTCTGCCACTGATGTAAATAATAATAGTCACGTGTGCATCCTAATGTACATGTGCTACTTAATCAGACAGGACACTTTTGCTTTAGAAGGAACTGTATGAAGTTGAAATGAGAAGATTCTGGTTTTTGAAGCCAGTCATCCTGAGTTCAGAGGGCTCTGGATTGGACAGCATTTTGGCTTCCGTCTGTGGGTACACACCTGGACATGTGGTGTCTCAGAAAATGCTCACGTTACCCCTCCCTTTGTTGCTGAAACATGGGCATTCTATCTGTTGTCCAGCAACAGTTGCTAAGAATCGTTCTCAGCTGTGGGGGAGCTTAGGAGTGAAATTCCTCACTCGCCAAGGCTGAGTGGACTAGAAAGAGCTACTGCCTAAGCCAGCTCGTCAGCTTTATGATCATTAGAATACTTGGAAACCTAAGTATTACATAGCGAAATAGTTCATCTAGCCAGAGGCAAAACTCAAGTCTCTGGGCAAACTGACTTCTGAGGCCATTACATTGCCGAGCTTTTGGAGGTGGGCAAGAGCCCTTAGAACCAGAATGGACACTGGACATGGTTCTAGCACGGGGTCAGGAGGACAGGTGAGCCTCTCTCAGGCTGGGCAGTGGCTGTGGGGTGGGCAGCGCGGCTGAACACGGGGCATGCGCGTCTGCACGAGCCTGGAGATGTCCTCGATGGCAAGCGGTTGATGGGGAAGATACATCTTTGCTTGTAAACAGCTTTTACAGCTTTAGGTTAAATTAAACCTTCTATTGAGTTTGAATGTGCTTCTCAGGCTCACGGGACTGAACACGGAGTCCTTAGCTGGTGGCCCTGGAGGCTTCTGACTGGAGACTCTGATATTTGGTCTACTAAGATGCACCTAGCTGGTTGGCATGGTCACAGAATGTTGCCTCCAAGCCTCACCCCTTCCCCCCCAGTCTCATAAACTGTGAGCCAGAAAAAAAAACAAAAACAAAAACATCCTTTCTCAGTTTGCTTCAGATATTCGGCCACAGGACTAAACAAGTGACCACCAGGCTGATAACCCTTGACATGAATGTTAAGCTTCATGTAATAAACGGCTCCCAAATAGAAGTAGATACACAAAAACTTTTATTAAGTGGAAGTTAGACTTACTTCATGGCAATTAACCAGTTACAAGTGCATCTAAGTTCATGTGTGTTGACACCATAGAAATCAGAACAGTCTTTCTGAAAGACCGCTGTTCTGGCTTGGTTCGTGCCAGTGCAAACCAAGGGTAGAACCATACACAGAGTCAGTACAGGTTGACAATGACGTCAGACTAGGTTGGCAACACCATATTCGTCGTAACAGCTAAGCATCACAGAACATGAAAGTCCAAAGACCAGAAGACTATTTCTAAAGCGCACTTACTCTACACCTCTCCTTCTACCGCATGCTTTGAGGACTGCCCAGCAAATCCTCCCCCTGGGGGACAGGGACTCTTTGCTCTACCCACAAACGGGCCATCAATATTGTAAACTTCTGCTGGTCCTCTTGATGCCCATTGTAAGTGGACAGCAGCCATCCCCTTGGGAAAGTGCAGTTTAACTGGTGTGAACATTTTCTTTTGTAAATCTTGAAGCTGAAATTTTCTTCTTTTCCAATTAGCACCAGTTTATTTTAAAATATATATATATTTTTCCTGGTGTTAAATCTTAGGAAATGTTTTGTAAAACTGACACACAAAGTCCAGAACAACAAAGGCAAAAGAAAAAAAAATGTGTTAGAGAACAGCATTTAGAAAAACAACATTATTGAAACATTCGACATATCTATGTACAATGTGCCAAAAGCTGGCAAGGAGCATGACTGAGGAACAGTCTCAGAAAAGGTTTGTCAACCTGAACCTCTGCAGGCGGTATTTACAGTCAGAAAAGTATTCAGAAATGTAGTATCAGAACATCTGGATTTGGCTAAAAATCATATAAAAAGACACATTGCCCCTCCCCGACTAACTTCTAGTTAGGTAGCAAACTTATCTTGTATGACCTTAAATATCAGGCTTAGAAGTGTGTTTTCCCCGTATTCTACAAACAGTTTACAAACCTCCTCACAGACGCAACAGAGAACCGGAACAGCAGAGAAATGCTTTCTTCCCTCATCGTCAGGTGGAGGGAAGGATGCAGGAGTCAGGGAGTGTGTATGGCCCAAGGAGGAAAAGACCAATTATCAGTTGGAAAGGTCTCGTGAAAATGCCCATCAGCACAGGGCTGAAGAAATGTGGGTATATTCTACAGAGATATTTAAAAATATAAGTAAGTGATCATCTCCATGTAATTTTGAAAAAAAAAAAAAAAAACAAAAAAACAAAAAAACCCCAACTGCTTGCCTTGTCAGATAATATCTTTATTTTGTCGATTGAAAACTATACCCTAAACTCTTTAAAGTGTACTCCTTGCCTCTGGCTGGATTGAAAATTAACAACAAACAAACCTGGGTCATCTTGAGCTGATGCAATATGAACTTCCTACCATTTTGTTTGCCTGCTTACTTTACGGTGCGGGGAACTCACCCATGCCAAGACAAGGGCTCCACCTTTGAGCCATATCCCTCGTCCTTATTTCCCTGTTAATGCAGTGTTACTAAAGCATCCACCTCTAAGAGCTGGGCAGACTTTGTGTGTGATCTCCTCTCAGGAGAAGGTCTATCCTCCTCATCCACTGTACTGGCTAGCCTTTTTTTGTTTTTTGTTTTATTTTTTGAGCCCAAAGTTTTAGTCTAAATGCATTGTCTTGAAACCATCAGAGAGAAAAACAAAGGCATCCCACACCCTTATGAGGATTTGTATTCTCATTTATTTTGAATAATCTGTAGTTGTGATAAGTCTCTATGAAAAAAGTACTTTGATTTGATATAAAATACATGTTTCTCTTTGAAAATGCATAGTTTATAATTTTATACATTCATTCATTATTAAAGACTTTGTAAGGAAGTACTAAGCCCTGAAATGATGGCAAGATTGGACCTCAAAAGACCTCTATACACTAAACAGCATTGCTGCTAAGTCTCAACCAGTGCCTGCCCATGCTCGCCGTTGTCATCCTAACACCAGTGTCCCCCAGAGGACCGCTTCCTGGCCTTCGGTTTATGAGCAAAGCTTCCTACAGACACCACTTCCACTAATTACCCACCACCCCACTTTAAATATTCGGTAACTTTTTTTTTTTTTTTAATGTTTTAGATTTGGTGAAGAAAAGAGTTCAAAAGATGGCTTACCTTTAACAGCAATTACCACCACTAGGGGCAGCGAATAGTCCCTCTCCCAGAACCTTCATTCACTTTTGCTGATAGTCTTGAACCCTTTGGGAGCTAGCGTTTCTTTTCTTGCCCTGAGTTCTTCCATGCATATAGGACTATGATATGAAATATTTTGGAAACTATACTAGTTAATTCATAGAGCGTTTAAGTGATTGACCACAGTCTAACCATTAATTACAAAAATAGGAATTTCAGGGTGTACTGCAGGAAAATATGGAGTAAGGGTATGTTTATGCTATATATAATCCACAGGCCTGTCTTGTTTGTACACCCAGGGTATTTTTAGTTATGGAGGTCTTGGAAGTAGTATGCTTGGGGAGGTACCATGTGCTTTCTGAATGAAAGATTTCGTTCAGATTTCATTTGAAGCTCTCTCCCAGTGATCAGTTTCCCCAGTTGGGACACTGGAAGTTGAAGCTGTGATGACATATAGGAGTTGAGATCATGCCATGTCACAGCCAATGACTTCCAATAAGGATATAGAGAAAGGGCCTAAAAGAGTAATCCTTCTGATTATAATCTGTTAGCTCAGCCATCCTTCCCCATCCGGGGATGGATTCCTGAGGGGTAACTCAAACCCAAGGGTAGCCACAAGCCTTCAGTGTGCCTCCTTTTCCCTCTGTCTTGTTGCCTGTGCCAGAAATAAAAGGTGGGGTTATCCTTGGGTTAGGAAAGAATGTTTAACAAAGTGAGTCATTTTTAATTTCCAGAGCTACAAAATAGGAACAATTGTACTCCTTCATCACACAGTGAAGGCCAGCCCCGTTCTCACTGTAATCCTCAGGTGGAAGCCAGAGCCGGTAGGATCTAGTATTAAGTCCATTCTAACAGATCCCACTGCCCCGCTGACCCTCAGCTCTGGGTAGGTGAACAGAAGGAGCGATCTAAGACACAGCTTAGCCGCTGCGTCCTGGCATTGAGTGTGGCAGGGTGGATACCTCCAGGACACTACATCTGTTCATCCCATGAAGGAAGGGTAGCCACTCACCGAGCAAAATGAGCAAGATAAGGGCGAGCAACCATGCCTTGGAGCAACGAAGGCAGAGAAAGCATCCATTAAGCAATCAAGGAACAAGAATGGCCCATCCCTGGATCTGGAAATGAGTCTGGCCTCTGGGCTGAGAGATGAAGAGAGGAAGGAAATGTCCACCAGCCAACCTGCATGCTGCTGCCAAGATGGTGGAAATGGCAACTAAGTGGGGACTGGTCCCTCAGACTCTCACTTAAGTTTTATGTCTTCTCTCGAGTGTTGGTTTCCCTCTTCAGTCAGGGACTGAGACAATACAGGAGAAGTAAATGGAGGAGGCACCTTGTTTCCACAAAGGTTTCCTTCTTTAATGCTAGAGAGCTCTCTTGCCTTTCTCAGGGACAGCCAGGTTATACTGTGGCTAATTTTCTTAAATAACATTTTGGGGAGAAGCTGGTCCTAGTAAAACAGCAAAATAGCTAATCAGCTTCAAGGATTGATCTGTAATGGTCTTGTAGCATAATAATCTTTGGAGTGTTACAATTCTATGGCTAATGCCCACTGCGATAGAACATTCAAAACAGAATGGCTATTTGATTCTCACCTGAACCTTATTTCAAAATCTAGCTGTTTGCTTTGCTCTTGTTCACTAACACTAGGTTATTTCTATGTCAAGGACAGGCGTAAAACTACACAACGGGCTGCCTTTCCATCACAGTAGAAAAGGGAAAACCATCCGGACTCCCAGCCTTAAATAACCCTGATAATGAACTAGGTGACAGGCCAATATAGGGTTGGCTTTTTGTATTATTTATTTCCTTGGTTGGCTTTTTGTTTTATTTATTTCCTTCTAGTCCCATGACAAGATTCTTTGTAAGCACTTTACTCTGAACTCAAGATGCTCACCTTGGCAACCTGAGATGAAGTTCATTCACCTACTGGACAGCCTCTTAATCATTTCCAGTGGAAGCAATCTCAAACTTTGCCAGCATTATTTAAATTGCATTCAAATCTAAACATGACATAACTGGTCTTCTAGGCACTTCCAGCATGTTTATAGGTCTTTTTCATTTGGTTCTGCAAACTGTAATTTTGAGCTGGTTTTTATATTTTCCGGCATCAATTTAAAATTTAGCCTGAAAAGCTAAAGGACAGCAGTAAAACATTTCTTCACCCAAGAAGTCAAACTTTTTATTTAGCATATTGCTTTAGCTAATAAATTCCTATCTTTACCATTTTGCTAGACAGAACATGGGGACCAAGCAAAGTAAACATGGGGACACATTTGGGGATGATTAAATTTCCCCTTAGTAACACGAATGAATGTGTGCTCTTTATTTCTGGACTGAGAACTTGGGGGCCTTGGGAATCCATGGCTTTTGAGTCACAGTGGAAGAAAGCCAAGACAGCCTTTTCCTCTGTCTCTGCGGGCAAAATGACAGTGCTGAATCATGGGCTCAAGACTACCCTTGTCTTGGCTTGGATGTCTTGGCTTGTACTTGTTTTCTACACTAGGTTCTTATAAAGACCAAAAAGAATAACGTCTGAATGAGACACACTTTATCATACAGAATTATCCTGTAACAGGACTTCAATATGACAAGAAGAATTAAAAGAATGTAGTTGCTCAGAACAATGAAACAGTCTAACCTGATCGCCCCTTCTTACACGACATAGTTATTCTCATTTTTATTTCGCCCTCAGACAAAGATACTATGGTTTTCTAAGTGGAAAAACCTCCTTTAAGGTGAACAGACACCTGAAAACACCCAAGCACCTATTAGTTCTGAAGCAAGGACCTTGTCAGATCAGAGGTGAAATTGTAAAATGAAACAAGGAGAGGGATGGCCTGGGGAGCATGGAGTGAGGGCAGAGGGCATTGGCACAGGAGGAACCATGTGCCACCTTAAAGCTTCAGGACACCTGGCTGCCTCCAGAAAGGCACAAGACTGTTTTTTTATTTTTATTTTTATTTGCCAGCCCTTCATCACAGTGGTCACGGTAGCAGACACAGTAAGAATCAGGGTTAGAGCTATTCAGTACTGTGGAGTGTGCCTGGGTATGCCAGGAGGCAGCTCTTGCCTGAGCTGGCTAAAACTCAGTACGTTCTGATCAGGGCCAAAGCTAATCTAAAGATACGACATTTCTATTTTTTCTTCCATGAGACTAATCTCTAGGGAGAAATAGCTTCTTTCCTCTTTCGAAATGTCTACTGCTCAGATTGTGCCACCACGTGTCTCTGGTGCTCATGGAGGACTGGGCCTGTTAGCCAAGGGATGTGGCATTGACTTCCACAGCTGAAACCAATGGCCACAGGATGCCCCTGCCCCACAAAGCTTTTCTTTGGTCTGGAGTATTAGCCAAGAATGTATGTTGGTGGTCAACATTTAATTGTCAGGTGATGCCATGCCTCCAATTTGGACCCAGCAACCTGGCGTGATGCCTGTGGGTTCTGATTGTCAAAAGCTGAGTGTGGGTCTTCCTTTTCAGTAGATGTCAGCTGCCTAGTCCACAAACCATTTGTCCTGACGCGCACTGGTGCAGCCCCTGTAACGAGGCTTCCGTTCACAGTAAGATGCACACAGTTCAAAGCCGTGTAGCACTGAACACCTGCTGGGTACTCAGACACTCTCAGATGTGCCACCCCAAGGGGCAGCATGAAAGGCTAGCTGCTGCCAAACCCGAGCGGGCCTTCTGAGCGCTGTGCCAATTATCCAGCAGGTACCCATCTGCCCACCTCGGCTTCTGTTTTCATAGGCTCTGCAGACTCTGGCTACTCTGGGCTAGCTTTCCGAGTCAACAAACTCTTGGGGAGAAAAGATGCTTTCTTTAACAGTGAGTGGGCTTGAGGATGTGAACAGCTTAAAATAGTCTTGGCAAAGCTCACTGCTATTTGTGTAGCTCCCTTCCTTGTTTCCTATGTCCCCTGGGAATACTGTCACTTTTTGCTCACTACCTTGGGTGCCTGTGAGGTTTTCAGAGTGAAAAACAAACAAAAGTAAAACAAAGCAGTTGTTCTGATGTCGAAATTCTTCAGCTGGTGTTGACTGCTTAAGAGTTCTTGGGTGTACATACTCCGATTTTAGACATTTCCACCAAAAGACGTAGAGATGTAGTTCTGACAGGCGAAAACTCGTAAGGGAATTCGTTTCACACTAAAGCGATATTTCTTCCATGGCCCGGAAGCCTGTGTGCTAGCATCTTTTCATTTACAATATAGGAAGTGAATCTTCACGTGACTCTCCCCCGCCCCCCATGCTCTGAAAACACACTGGTTATGATAAGGGAGTAATTGCTGCTGCATGGATTCTCTTGCAAATAACCTTTCTATCTGTTCTGCATTTCTACCCTTGCTTGGAGGGTTAGTTGAAAAGATACACATCAAAACACTTGCTTAAAAGAGGCATAGCCCTTGGATTGGTGAACAGGATCTGTGTACCATATCTACACTTCCTGCCGGTTAAAATACTGCGTTTTAAAAAATAAGCTACAATGTATAAAACCAAGGTCATTTCCCACAAAGTGTTCATGTTCTCTGTGATTATAAAACACGGTATCTTGTAAAATATTTCCAGTTCTGCTAAACTTGAGAAGTTAAGTACTAATGTTTATTATAAAAGTGTCATGTCTCTTGCAGGAGCCTAAGTGGTATTATTTCTTTCATTTGGAAATTTAAGTTGTAATTATTATTGTATTTAAGATTACATTTACCATAACACATTACCATTGTGATTCTCAGACCCACACAACGAAAGTTATAAAACATGAGATTGTCTTCGGAAAAAGGGAACTATTTACAGAACAGGACAGGAGGTAAAATTCCCACGTTGCCTTCCTGGTCCTGTGACAGGTACACTCTTTAAAGCATTATATCATTGAAAATGGGCCTTTTCAAAGTCAGTCACCAAAAGCAAGTCAGTCTTGAGTACGTTTCATACTTCCTTGCTCTGTTGACGTGCAGTTACTCAGGACAACTGGTACCTAAAAGTGCTAACCTCATTTACTAACTTCCCACTTGGCTACTTACAATGCAGAAAAGACAGGATGAAATGGTTGCAACATGGAGGACTCTCTACCGGGAGGAGGATCAGGGGAGCCTGTGAGCTGCTGGTAGGTTCTCTCTGACAGAAATAAAGTTTCCGGTTGACTCACTGTGCCTAACACGCCCTCCGAAATGACCCACACCCCCCAATCATATCTGTCGTATTGATGGGTCCCCTGGCTCCACCCATTTGTACGTGGTCACAGAGCTCAATGCTACAGCTGACGTGGGTGGTGGCAATCCTACAGGATGTGAGAAAAAGCAGCACCTTGTCCATAAGAGTCCATGGCAGGGTGCTTCTTAACCCGCTACCAAAGCAAACTATATGTCGTGTACAGCTTTCTCTCACTTAGAGAATGCTGTGGATAGCTAATAAACAGTTGCCCAAACCGGGAGATTACCACAAGGAACAGCAAGGCTTTTTGTTCACAATTACATTCAGAGAAAGCCTCACCATGTCTAGAAATACCCAGGAGGCTCTGCACGTGTGGCTCAAACATCAGTCAGCTTTAGGCTGGCTATAAAAGGACAGTTAGGCATGGGTGCATCTGCCATGCCTCACAAAAGTTGCCTGTGCAGCTGACATGGATTTGTCTTGAAATGATACTGAGTTTACATGAAAAAAAAAAAAAAACAAAAAACAAAACAAAACAAAACAAACAAAAAAAAAAACAACTTGATTTGACAAGACGAGACAATAAAAATCTTCTCAGTCTCGGGGGTTCTCCAGATCTGTCTTTGCACATCCTCCCCGTTTCCCTGAGGAAATAATGAGTAGTATTTACAGAATTCTGCTACTGTGTTCAATGTATACCCTCGTATGTGTCGCTCTCGCCTCTTTTCTCGGAACCTTCCAGTGAACGCCACCTTTGTCTTGCAGTGCAGTTGCAGTGAGAGATGAAGTGGACTCTTCCAGGGCCGCTCACTTGAAGTCCAGGGCTTCTGGCGAAAATGTGACACGCTAGGCTAGCAGAGATGGCAGACTTCCACTCGCGTCTTCTTGAATTGCGATGGGAAACAATTTGGTTTCTTTTTTTTTTTGCAACATACATGTGACCATCTCTGAAGAGAATTTTTTTTTTTTTTTGGAAAGCTCAGGGTTTACCACCAGTGCTGTTCTCTGTTGATAATGTCCATTCGCAGCTCTGTCACAGGTGGCAGGGAACTACCTTATAAGGGAACTTCTTGGAAATGGAGCTGTCATCAGGTACTACAAGCCCACTCCAGTTTGGAAACCCATTGCTTTGTTTCCGGCGCTGGCTTTTACCAATCCACAGAGAAACAGCACAGAACAGGTGGCAGAAGGGCGAGCCTGTTGGATGGCCCCTGGACAAAGCAGCTTCCATCTCGTTTCAGACATCTGCAGCGGACACTGAGCGTCCCTGGCTGAGCAGCCCATGAGCGGGAGGCAGGAGTGTGCAGGTCTTTTGCAATGCCTCCTTGATATGCTTGCTACCTGGGGGTTTTCTCCATGTTGTCTCTCTGGCTTTCACAAGCTTAAGTGTCCATACTCTGGGAAGGCTAAGGCTGGAAACTACTGCCCGTTGCACACATTTCTTTCTGGAGAATGTCCTGTCAGTCACTGTGAAATGCATGCCTTCTCTGGGAGAAACAAGAAATCTGTTTTTGGAGGAAGGGGCATCAACACAAGGAAAAAAAACAAACAAAAAACTCAGATATTTCCATTGGACACGAGTTCACTGCACCGTCAATCCTGTTGCAGATAGGGCTATCAGCCCTGAGGGTGCTCAGAGCTTCAGCCCAGCAGTCTGCCTGCCTGAGATGGTTTGCACCGTTCCCTGTTTCTCCAAGAAATGTGGGCACCAGAAGCTTCGTTTCATGGAGTTGGCATCAAATGAAAAGTCAGGCTTCATTTGGCACTTTGTTTGGTTCTCCAAATAACAAAATAACTATTTAAAAAAATGTAACGCATAAAAAAAGGTAATTCATATAATCGGCAACTGTATGTTGCAATTCAGAGCTTTCTGGTCCCCTGGGGTCACAGCCTTCCACACAGGGAACGGGCATGCTGTCCAGAACTGTACTCAGGATGTGTGTGCACCTGGAAGCCAGAAGAGAAGAAGTGCCTAGAAGAAGCTGGCCTGTAGACCACAGCCCCAGGCAGGGCTGAAGATGCAGAAAAGCTGCTATGACGAAGGCTTTAGGGAGAACGAGGTGTCCAGGTCCGGTATTTGGTTTCTTGACTTGGCTGACAATGTGTTCTGAGCAGCCGTGGAATGACCGAGCCTTGCTTGGGCTGGTCTCCTGGGGAGACAGCCACAGCGCCTTGCTTAAGGATTGCTCTCGTGCAGAGAGCCTCCCTCTATCCTCAAGTTCTCTCTAGAAGATGGATTTAACTTTGCATCACTTTAATATTTTGATTAAAGTCTTCATCTGTGATTTAAAGAACAATTCTGGAGCTTTGCTGAAGAGGAAATCTCTAGCCTAGGGTCCATCTATTATGTAAGCATGAGGGAGGTGGACTTGATCTAACAGCTGACCATGACAACCTACACGATGCTCAGGGCCTCTTGGACTAGCCAGAGCATCGGTTCCAGCAGTGAGGCTACAAGAGATAGGATACAGGACATGCCCAGGGCAAAGAACTCAATCTCAGCATTTCAAAAACAAAATTCGGCTTCCTGGTTGCAGGTCAAAACATCTAGAACAGCTGGTGTGGCTGATGGTGATCATCAACCTATGGGGGATCAGATAAAGCTTTCTCTTTTCTTTTGAAATAAGTGTTTTGTTTTTCTTTTAAATATCTGAAGGAAAAGATCAAGGTATCTTTCAAGAAATAATCTTTTAAAAAGCCACATGAATTTAAAAAATAAGATTGCCAAAATACATGAACGCACCAATTAAGGGTGTTCCGCTGCAGAACCTCCATATATACCCCTTACGTAAAAAGAGGGGTGACTCTGATTACTACATGACTTCTTTCTACTCCGTAAAAAAAGTACTATGTACAGTCTTTAAACATATATATTAAGCTCCCCTCTGTGCAATTTCCCTTAACATTCGTATGGCTGACACCTGTTCTCCATCCCCACCCCGTGCCTCCTATAAGGTGCTTACTCTGCATAGGTACAGGACACTCAGCTCCGAAGCCGGGCAGGCGGAGAATGAGCATACGGACAGGGCTTTGGCTGCTCTCCAAGCTCCGCCCCCCAAACAGCCAAGCCCACCAGTGTAGACATCCAACAGCTGGGACCCAGTGTGAGCCCTGGCCCTACTGAATGGAGAGTCCTATACCAAGGTGTGTTTTCCTTTGGGCATTCTGTAAGTTAGTGTCTGAGCAGATTCTTAATTCATAGTTCCAATATTTCTATAAGAAAAAAAAAGTTTAGCTTTCCATTATCCACATGTCACCGTGCCCACCGGCTTGTCCCCTAGAACACATAAAGCACGCGTTCTATAAAAGTGCACACAGAATAGAAGTTGGCTTGTTGCCTTACTGGGTTTTTCTCACACTCAGGGGCATCTTAGCTGTGGTCTGCTCCAAGCGAACGTGCGGGCGGGTCTTGCGTCCTCTACCTGGTGGAGCTGGAGAGCAGGATGATAACCCAGTCCTGCCTACAGAGCCGGGCACACTATCCAGGTTGCAGTTTGTGTGATATCCCTCAAAGAAGCATCGAGGCTTACCCGACTGTTCCTGGTGCCAGCTCGCTTCTGTGCTGGGCAGAGGCGTGGCTGTGACACCGCTTGGGATCCCGAGGACGACTCCCACGTGCTTTCTGCAGTGCGGCTTGGGGTCCGGACCCCACTGCCCATCACTGCTGGCCTTATGATATCCAGAGCCTCCAAGTGAACATCTTTACAGGGTTCCACGTGGGGTCCTTCTTGAAAACAGACAGAGAAGAGACACCCAGAGTATAGCTCTTTCTTGAAATACATCATGATCTGGGCTGCTCCAGGGAGTTGGCTGGAAAACGGGGAAATGCCTACTCACAAGGCAGGTACTATCCTTTATACAAATGCTACTTCATAGCTTATGGGTGTGTTGTGTAGCTGGTGGGCATATTAAGTGTCAAAAACTTGAAAATGCCACAGTTCAGAAAGCTTATCAAAAATCTGCTTCTCTCTAGGTGAGATGGGCCTGGTTGGCTAAGCTGCTCCAGAAGATCAGCTTTAAGACCAGATGGACAGCAAACAAAGCTGGCTTTTCTTTGAATGGAAAAAGTCCTTCTTGCTGCTCTAGCCTGGTTCTCAGAGCAGTGCAGGTCCTAATTTTTTTGCTTCTTCTTCTTTTTTTTTTTTTTTTTTGCTTTAATTCCACCAAGGAATCATATTCCTGGGATTCCAGGAAGGGCTTTCCCTGGGCTGAGAGTGGCTTCCTCTGGAAGGCGAGGCAGGAATGGCTGGGGCGAGCCTGCTTCCTGGCTCAGTCGATGAATCGCTGGCAGGCTTTCTTCCAGCGGCAGGCGGTGCACCACATGTCCCTGTTCTCCATCCCATAAACCTTGCGGCACTTTTTGCCTTCTCCTCTGGGCTTCCTGTAAGACAGACAGCAGAGACCTGTTCAGGGACAGCAAGTGGGAGGGCCTTCCGGGGAGAGTTCAGAAGGACTGAAAACCCAATCAGAATGGAGAAGGCGCTCAGCAGGGCTGGCCACTCTGCTTAAGTAGTTTCTAAATTTTATTCATTGAACTCTTCATTTGGCCGTTTTTTTGTTTTGTTTTGTTTTGTTTTTGCATGAGTAAGGAAGTAAACATGCCTGTAATCCCAGCACTCAGGGAGGCAGAGGCAGGCAGATCTCTGTGAGTTCGAGGCCAGCCTGGTCTACAAAGTGAATCCAGGCCAGCCAAGTAGAGTGCAGGGCATCCGAGGCCACACAGAGAAACCCTGTCTCGGGGGGGAAAAACAAACACAGAAAAAACAAAAACAAAAAAAGTAAACAGGAGATGAGGCAGGGTGTGTGTGGCTCTGGGACAGCACTGGCTATTCAAGCATGAGTATATCTGGACCACTGAAACCTGTCCAGAGCTGGACAGGATGGTTTGTGTCTGTGATTGTCTGCAACCCCAGTGCTTACACAGCAAGGTGGGGGTGCAGAAGGGAAGATCCTTGCAAGCTCTCTGGCCAGTTTTCCTGCATATGCAGTGGGCGAGCGAGAGACCCTGTCCAGGGAAAGGCAGGAAGCAAAGACAAAACACCCAAGTTGTCTTCAACTTGCACCTGTGCCCCACGGCACGGTTCCATGCTCACAGGTGCCACTCCACATTCTCCACATTTTCCTCCTACCCGCATACCCTGCCTCCTAAAAAACAAACTAACACACAATCATCAACAACCACCACAAAAGACATACAGGACAGGAGAAAACAACACTGTTCCTCCGGATTTTCACTGTGCCTTTCCGCTGTTCAGAATTCTGGTTGGGGGCTTCCTGGGAGACTCTTCCTGGATCTGGATTAAAACTACCTTGTCACTCATGCCACAGAGGTCAGTACAGGACAGTGATCACCACGGCCCGTCCTACAAACTGCAAGTGCCCTTCACAAACGGCTAGAAAAACCACTGGATCGAAAGAAACCCTGCTTCACAGACTGGGGAGAGATTTTACAAAAGGTCCTAATTCAGTTCCTTTTTCCTGTTTTTCTGATTCCTAGGAAGTTCCTTTGAGGCGAGGTCTGTAGCTGTGGTCAATCATACCTCAGGCTGACTGTCCCTCTGGGCGGGGAGGACAGGGCCGCGTGGGCATGCTGTCTCTGCTCTCCTGAGCCCACTGGATGGTGATGTGTTGGAGACACCTAGAAAACAAGGACAGTCAGGTTGATGGAGCGGGACCCCCCCCCCACTGCCCACCTTTGCAGCGTGGGCAATGGTCCCTGAGCATAAAGCATGAAGAAAGGTTTTGGTCTCAACGGCATGCTCTTACGGTTAAGGTTAAATGAATGTTGAGTTTAAGCTGGCAAGGTTAGCGACTCTGGGGCTGAACATAAAAAGGGCTCGCAGCTGATAACTACGCCGACCAGATCAGAGTCTGCCGATTAATGTGCGGCTATCAAGCGACTCAGCTCAGAGCCCAGATAACTTCTCTCTCTATCATTACCTCCCACACTCTCACAGAAAAGCCCAAGAAGTTATGAGCACACGGGGGCTTTTCCGGCTCCCAAGTTCCAAGCACTTCCACAGTCCTACACTCTGACCAGACACGGCCAGGTCTGTTACAGCAAGAGCCCTCTGTCCAGAGCTTCCTGGATATGGGCTCAGAGGGAGAACTCGAACTTGTCATACACACGCAGCAAGCTGTTTATTACCCAAGAGCCATCTCACCAGCCCTGCTCTCTGCATTTTAATCTTTGTCTTCTATCTCAAACCTTTTCAAACGCCTACCCTGCAGAATATCTTAGTAAGTATAAAGTATACTTGGTACCACTGCGGACAGTACTATCTGCTACTGTTTATAAGTACATACAATCATTAGGCTGCGAGAGCACACCACACTTACTGAGTGGGCATGACTTCCAGTGAGCTTAAAGACTCTAACCTATAGCTTTTGTGCTCGTGGCAGAGAGACACTTGAGCTATCGGTCTCGTTTTACAGATTCGATTTTGTCGTTTCCCAGAACTGACAGCAGCAGCGGTGAGCAGCCCACACTGTTAGACTCCACACGGCTGTTTTGGAATGGAGGAGATTGTTTAAGAATGTCATGTGCTGGCTTGAGGTCAGAGTGCATGGGTCAGCCTGGGATTTGAACTGTGCTCCCCATGAGAGCAGTACTATGGATTCATGATGCCCTTCTGTATATGTTTTAGAGAAATGTCTTTGTGATCTTTCTGTCATATGGACTCAAAAAGATTTCTGACAGGATGAAATCTTTCAGTAGCATTTTAAATCCTGTTTCTAGGCAATAAAAAATAAACCCCAAGCGACTTCATTAGTTACTTTTCTTGCAGTTAGGACACAGTAAGTGACAGAAATGACTCGTAGGAGATGTTCATCCTGGCTTACAGCTCAGGGAATGTTGCCCACCAGCTGTGAGAGGGCACAGTGGGAGCGTGGGCGCAGTGTGCTCAGGTTCTCAGAGTTTGCAAAGCAGATCAGGCTGGAGGCAGATAGGAACTTTAAGATCCACCTGCCGCAACCCAGTCAGGCCCCACTCCTGAAGGTCTCACAGCATTCTAAAACATCATCACAAGACGAGGACCAAGTCCTTTAACACATGAACCTACGAGGCCATGTCACTTCATGTCCAAGCTATAATAGCACCCCAAAGTGAAGTGTGTTCTGTCACTCACTTAGGTTTTTTTTTTTTTTTTTTTTTTTTGAGATTATGGAGTTCATAGCACAAATTTACTATGTGGCTGAAGTTGGCCTTGAGCTCTTGATCTTTCTGTCTTTACCTCTCAACTCCTGGGACTAGAGGTATATACCGGCCTGTCTGACTTCCCCACTTCTCCTAAAATTTTATATTGAAATTTTAAGTCCTCCGTCTGGCTGTATTGAAAGATAAGCCCTTCAAGGAATTAAGGTTAGATGAGGTCCTAAGGGTAGGGTCCTGATCCAATAGGACTAGCGTTACAAGGAGAGACACCATACAGTGTGCAAACCCGAGCGCACGCGCGCGCGCGCGCACACACACACACACACACACACACACACACACACACACTCTACTTCCCAGCCGTCGGCTAGAGAAGCCTGCTCGAAAGGACAGTAGCATCTGCAGAGCCTTCACGGCTATCCTTTGGGAAGGGCTCTGGTGCTGGGACTCATTAAAGCCAGTTCTCAGGAAAGAGAATGAGTGAAAGCCTGTGGACCTGGGGGTGGCTCAGAAGGGGCTTTCTGTAGAAGTGTCCCGAGGTTTGTCTCCAGCACCGGAGCTCAAGGATGAGGGAGCAAAGGCACCTTTAACCCAGGACGGCAAGCCTGAGCATGGAACGGGACAGAGGCAGAAGAGATTTTTACAAACCAGGGGCCGCTCTCTGGACCTGTGGGACAGGGCTACCCTTAATGTTTTTTTATAATTTAAAAATTGGATAGATAGACAGCTGCTATCTGAAGCTATCCTGCCACTTTAGAGCGAGGAGCTTCATGTTCTGAGCGTCTGCCTGGCTCCCTGTTGTAAGGGGCAAGGCCCAGCATGCTGGCCGGCGTGAAGGCAGTGGGCCTGCCACCGCTGTGGCTGTGTGGGGTGGGCTGTGCACAGTCAGCCCACCTAGGACAGCAGGCAGCCAACGCTGTCTTCTTTGAGAGCACTGACGGGGAGTTCAGGAGCACAGGGAATAATCTCAGGGCTACATTCTTATCTTTCTAGAGTCAGACGAGGCTTTTAAAAATATACCTACAACCTTAAAATAGCGACGGCAAGCTCGACTGCTGAAGTGTTTATCTAAGTCTTGGCTGAAGCAGATTACAAACGGGGGAGGCTGGAAATTCTCCAGTCTGAGAGTAAATGAGAGAGGGGAGGCGGAGGCTGCGAGGCTCCGTTGTTAAAGGCCTAAGTGTGGAACGGTGCACCCACGCATGAGGATCACAGTGGCACACGGTACAACGGGAAACCTGGTGCCCCAGGTGGGGCCAGGCAGACCCCTGGAGCTCACCAGCCCGTGGGTTAACAAATGTGTGCTCTGGCTCAGAGGCCTTGCCTCAAACCTAAGGTACACACACACACACACACACACACACACACCACACAAAAAGAATAAATGAGAAACGGCCCTAGGAGGTAGAATTTCCAGCTAACCCAGATAGTGCATCTATTTTCGGTGCAATCTCGATGCTGGAATGTCCCTGGAAACCAACACAGAAATAAAACATTTCTTTGAAAAAAAAGAAAGAAAGAAAAAGGCGGGGAGTGGGGCCATTGCGACTGAGGGTGGAGATAGCTCTAGTATCCATGGAAGAGAGCTCTAAGATTTCATTGTTGGAAAACAAACAACAGAAGGAGTCCTGGCTGGCATCCTACAGGGACACCGAGGAACTGGGAGGACAGACAGCTTGTTAGAAACCAGAATGGTGTCTCCATGATGGTTTAATTCAAAAAGCACAGCAGAGCTGGGCGCGGTGGTACACTCCTTTAATCCCAGCAGAGGCTGGCAGACCTCTGATTTCCAGGCCAGCTTGGTCCACAGAGCAAGCTCCAGGACAGCCAGGGCTACACAGAGTAATCCTGTCTTGATCTGCCTGGGCTGTGGTGTGAGTTTAGCCCAATTTGAACATGTATATGAATGGGCTCAAGTGTCAGTCAAGCTGCTTAGTACAAGAGGCCTTCTGTTGAGTTCTGGGTACCAGCCAGAGTGCAGCGGCCACGGCAGAGGTGAAGGTGCCTCAAGTTCTTGTCCTGGCCTATGTGCTTGGAAATTCTAAGTTAAAGTCAGGACCTGAGGAACTGTTACGCCGTGAGCCTGCAGCTGGGATGGGAATTGTAGCCTCCACTCTTGGTGTGACGGTGGCTTGCCAGGATTTAGGCGCACCTGGCATACACAGCTGTGGGTGCTTCTGGGATGGCTTTCCAGAAAGGTACAGGAGGAGGGAAGACCTGCTCTGAATGTGGGTGGCACCATCCTGTGGCCTGGGTCCTAGATGGGAAAAAGAGATGGATGCCAATGGAGCGCCAGTATTCATCTCTTTCTGCCTGGAACCATGGACAACACGCCAAGTCACCTGACACACCTATCCACACCTTCCCCACCAGGTAAAATCTGAGCCCAAATGAACCCTTTCTTTCTTCAGTGGCTTTTGTTGGGTGTTTGATCACCGCAATAGGGAATTTATGCATCTTAGCCTCCTTTTTTGTTGCTATAAAAAGATACTCTGGAAAGAGTATATGCTGTTCCACAGTTCAAGGGTATAGTCGGCCATGATGGGGAGGTCCAGTCAGTGGGAACCTGAAGCAGCTGGACACAATGTGTCCACAACCCAGAAAGCAGGTCAGAGTGATATATTTCTAGATTCTCAGCCAGGAAACGGTGCCAACCATGGTGGGCCAGTCTTTCCATTTCTATCAACCAAGATCATCTCCCAAAAGCATGCCCAGAGGCCCGTCTCCAAGGTTAAGTCTAGATTCTGTCAAACTGACCACACTGACCATCACAGATAGTAGTGTCAAATGGCAAACCTTTTTATGTCTACCAAGGGAAAAGTCTCCCAGAGGAAATGTTTCATATCTGGTGCCCCATGGGCGGGTCAGTGTTTGTGCCGCCAGTAAAGCTAACATTAGAATGTCCAAGATCGCTCCTTGAGAGTGGCCAGGGGTCACCATCGTTCAGTGGCATTTGTAGTTATCCCATATTTATGGTAGTGTTGAAAGATCACAACTCAAGGAAGCCGGGACTCCTCAACAAGCACTATGCAGAAGGTGGATTCCTTGTGGAGTATGGTAAGTAGGCACGGGCAGAGCATGGCACAGTTTACCCAGTTACCCATCATAAGCTCCACAGGAGGCTTTTAGACTCACTGGGAACCTCTGGAACCTGACGGGGCCTGCCAAGGACTTGCTCTTGTGAGGTCTCTGTGTAGGTGTCAGAGGGGCAAGGTAGGGAAGAGAAAGTAAGTTAACACCTACTATTGTGAGCCTAATTCCGAACCTTATCAGGAGTCACAGCTGCTGTGCACGTATGTCTCTCTGTAGTCTGTGAAAAACACACACACACACACACATATATGTGTGTATATACACACACACACACACACACACACACATATGGTATGGATTTATTATTTATTACAACTTGTTCACTTTATATCCTGGCTGTAGCCCCCTCCCTCATCTCCTCCCAGTCCCACCTTTCACCCTCCTTCTCCTCCTATGTCCCTCCCCCAGTCCACGGATAGGGGAGGTCCTCCTCCCCTTCCCTCTGACCCTAGCCTATCAGTTCTCATCAGGGCTGGCTGCATCCTCTTCTTCTGTGGCCTGGCAAGGCAGAGGCGTTTCCCCCTCCCCCCTCAGTATATTTTTAAATGAACTATTAGGAGCCAAGTTAGTTCACGGTGATTTATGAGAATCATTTAATACACTGCATTAATTTTTATTTACTACCGCAACACGGCTGCGTATTTCAGCATTCAGCATTTACTTCCATCAAACAGGGATTGCTCAGGCTTTGAAAGAAAAATGTGATTTCAATGCATTTTCAAATGGCGTATCTCCGAGACAATATGTGGAAATGACAAAATCTACGAAGTAATTTGTAATGATAATCATCAACTTTTCTGTGAGAGATGTGAATCAAGCTACTAATTCTTTAGTCTTTTGGGAATATAACTATAGCACCAACACAGTACACATGTCCAGCCTCAACAGCCAACATGCTCCTCTAGCTTTCTAAACTGTCAGTCAAAACATCTTTTCCCAGAGAAGCTCTACCCATCTAAATCACAGGCTGCCTTGCTGCTGAATCCACAAGCATCTCTTAAGAAGTATCTACCTGGGACTGGAGGAACGGCTGAGCCGTGAAGGGCACTGAGGACCTGCGTTTGACTTCCAGCGCCTGCATGGCAGCTTACAACTGTCTGTAACTCCAGTTCCAGGGGATCTGATGCTCTCTTCAGATAGAACAGTGCACACATGTGGTGCACAGAAACACACGCAAGCAAAACACTCAGACACATAAAATTAAAAAGATAATGAATCTCAAAACAGGAAGAAGTATTTGCCTTTGGAGCCTGGGTATGACGGTATATACCCGTGACACCAGCATTTGGGAGGTGGCGGATCAGAGGTTCAAAGGCCATATATAGAGAGTTCAAGGCTAGCCTAGACTACTTGAGACACTACCTCAAGAAAGAAAAGCGAAGAAACAAAATGCAGTAGCTGTGGGCAATGACTCCGTCGTTTTTGTGTCGTTTCTATAGCTTGTTCTCCAAATGTACATTTGGCTTGGCTCACCTTGCTTTGGGTACTTACCGGAACGCCCGTGAAAGTGACTGGAGGAGACTGCCAGGAAATGCTGAAGCTGCTGCCATTGGGGGCGAACTTAGCCGATCCTGGAATAGTCACCGGCGGTGTGGCCTGTGAGACAGGAAACAGAAAGCTGTATGACACAGTGACAGTCCACAGCAAAGTCTTAGCTCTCGCTACCACAGCTGGGCTTCAGGAGCAGCAAGGCAACTCTGGCTATACATGCTAACAGACAGAGACGAAACACTGTCAGAGAGTGGCCAGAAAGAAGCCTTTCATACAAGCAGTCTCCCTGAGGTGCAGGAAGTGGCTTTTGGCCGTCAGTTTCTGACATTTAATCACATTTACCTATTCTTGGATACATGCAAGCAATTCTTGACTACCAAATTAGGAAATAAATACTTAAACAATAAACTTGGAAATGGGTACATATAAGCTATCAATATTTTAGGAGTGTGAGTTAGTGACATTTTCACTGTTTTGCCCACTAGCCATCTCACATCTAGGTGTGGATTCTAAGAAAATGAACACAATCACGTTCACTGTATACCACGTATTATGAGCATGCTTACAGACTTGGTCACTAAGATGGCTCAGCAGGGAAAGGAGCCTGCTGAGAGGCCTGAAGACCCGAGTTCAAGCCTCAGGAGCAGAGCGGAAGGTTTTATTACCTCTGCACGTGCAATGTGTCAAGTGTGTGCACACACATGTACACACACGCAAAATAAATACGGCAATAAAAAAAATTTTAAACCTTAGAATTTGAACAAATGGATGCAGCTCAGATTACAAGTCAAGGCGGTAAATTAAGTGACTGCATTTTCCCTCTCCGGGCTCAGGTTTTCCTTTCATTGGATTACAAAGAGTTCAGCTAGTTACAGTGGCATCACTGAGAAATACTTTGACAGTACTCAGAAATATACACTAACTCTTCATTCATGCTCCAGGCGGCTCAATAATGACACTTTCTAAGAAGTAAAATGAAAGTTATAAAAGCTCTAGGCAAAGACTGTCCATAGTAGCCTCCTTGCACTTTTTTCTTGTTTTTAAAAGTTTTTTTTTTTTTTTTAAGGACATGGTCTCATGTGAGCTAGACCAGCCTCAGACTTGTTACATTGCTAAGGCTGCCTCCACCTCTCAAGTGTTGGGAATTAAAGGCATGAAATACCTCGCTCAGCTTTATGTGGCTATGACAGTGGAAAACTACAGTCACATAACTATCAGAAAGATAAAAATAATTATTTCAATTTAATTTACCTGGATACTACACAGTTATTTTGATATTTTGATTTCTTTTCTTTTTTTTTTTTTTTTTTTTTGTGTGTGTGTGTGTAAAATAGCTAGGGAATGTAATTTCAAACAGGCAAGGTAGCTTTTTATGCAGTTCCTTGAGGTAGCTGGCACTGCTGGAAGAGCCATGCTCTGCCTTTTGAGGATTGATTTCTATGACCTTTGGCTTCTAGGGTCTACCCCAGCTGTGGTCCAGTAGGTTTTTTGGGAGAGTGTTCCAAGGATTTCCATTTGGAGCAAGTTCTCAGGGGATGCTGAAGCCCCAGCTAAGCAGTGCTGTCCTGTCTCTGTCACTGCTCCAGAGCTTGTCAATTTTTCAGTCACTTTAAATTAGATGTGTTGTGTGTTCTGGACATGGGGTAGATGGTGTCTGTGTGGATGATCGGAAGAAAATGTTCAGAAAGCGGTTCCACCATGCCAGTCCTAGGGATTGAACTCTGATCTTCAGGCTTGGTGGTACGCCTTATGAACTAGCAGCCTGCTGGCCCTGTGACTTTGCATTTTTGAGACAGGGCCTCACTAAGTACCCCTGGATGACCTGGAACTTAATAACGTAAATCAGGCTGGCGTCAAACTCACAGAGGTGTCCTGCTTCTGCCTCCTGAATGCTGGGATTGAAGGCATGTGTCACCATGCTTGGCTTCATTTTCATGAAGATACTTCATTCATCAGATACTATGCTGGTCACCAATCTGAGGACTTTAAACTACTAAGGATTTTCCTCCTCTTAACGACTCCTAAGAGATCAAATCTTCAGCTGGCTCTGGGGAGTCCTTGAATAACCTTTAGTGTCCATCTGAATGAGATCAGAACCCAAGCTGCATCTTTTGCTTTTCACGATAAGGTAGGGAAAAACCAAGTTGCCCAGGATGGTCATGGCTGTGCTTGCTCTGTCACTTAGGCAAGCTTCCAACTTGTGATCCTCCTGCCTCAGCTTCCTGAGTGACCAAGAGTACAGCCCTGGGCCTTCGGACTCTTTTTGTTGTTTGTCTGGTGTTAGGGACTGGGTCTTAATTATGTAGTTCAGGCTGCCCTTAAATTCTATAGCCCAACCCTGGCCTCAAGTTCATGAGCCTTGTGCCTCAGCCTCCTGAGTGCTGTGATTATAGGCACAAGCCACCGCTTACGGCTTGAGATCATGACTAAGAGAAAAAACAGAAAAACCAACTGAGTTACTGGCTGCTACATGTGATGCTGTTTTTTTGTTTGTTTGTTTGTTTTTACTGTGTTAACTTACAGTCCCAGGCCTGATGGCTACTGCTTTTGAGCAAGGTCCCTAGCAAGTCACCTGGTAAGCGTGGTCAGTATGCACGAGGTAGAGGGTGGTGGGGGCTGAGCGGCTCAGCGGCGTCACCAGCTTAGCATCTGTTTTGGCACAAGGGATTTCTGTTCGGCTGGAGTCTTGGACCGGAAACGCAGGAGGTGAAGCCAGGGACTGGGAGGGCGAAACTGGGGCCATGCTGCTCAGGCCGTCAGCAACTGCGTCCGTGTTGAGCTTGATCTCTGTGTAGTAGAAGTCCTCCTCGCCATCACTGTAGTCAGATTCCCCAACTCGCCTGGGGCAGGAGAGAAAAGAGCAGAGGCCTTATGTAGACTGTTCTCTCCATCTGGAATAGCCTTTTCCTTGTTGGCCTGGCAACCTTATATTGGTCATATATTCCCCGAAACACTCAACTACCCCATTTGAGGAAGGTTTTCATCAGCTTCCGCTATGGTTTAAATGTGACCCTCACTGGCGCTGTTTGTTAGTAACTTAATTTCCAAATTCTTATGTTAGTGGTATCTGGGAAGAGTTTTTGAGAAGCAGTCAGAATTGGGAGAGGTCAAAAGGGTGGGGGTGGCAGGTATGATGGCATGAGGGGGGGAGATCTGGGCACAATGTCATGAGGTGTGGGTAGGTAGGTACACTGGCATGAAGATGAAGGGGAGGGCCAAGTGGCACTAATGATTCTGAAAGGAGAGCAAGTTAATGTTTTGGTCTGTCTGGCCATGTCAGATGTAGCAAGGATACTCTCAGCAGATGCTGAACAGGTGTCTGTGCTATGACGATAGTGCAGAATGACCCAGAATCCAGAGTCCAATAAACTACCATGCCTTTAACCAACTTGACATCAGATGTTATGCTACAGCAACAAAAATAGAGTAAGACTCCTTAAAGCAGGCTGCCTATCACCCATCCATCCACCTACCTACTTACCTTCCTATTTATTTGTTTAGTAATCTGAGAATAATTTCATTACATGGAAAACAGTCTACCTCCTACCAAGCACAAAACATAGACTATGTCTTGAGGGAAATTTTATTTTTATGTTTTTTTTTGTTTTGTTTTGGATTTTCAGGACAGGGTTTCTTTGGGTAGCCCTGGCTGTCCTGGAACTTTCTCTATAGACAAGGCTAGCCTCGAACTCAGAGATCTGCCTGCCTCTGCCTGCCAAGTGCTGGGATTAAAGGCATGTGATACCATCTTCCAGTTTGATGGAATTTTTATAGTCTAGTGGTATGCAAGAATTTCCTAACAAATAGCTATTTAGTATATGATGCTTTGCTAAGTCCCACTAAAAAAGATTAAGCAACATTTGAGCGTCTTTAAGAGAGGTTAGTGGTGGTACTGATTTTTACAGACGATGCTCAGAAGAAGTGGCAGGCAAGCAGCCTGCAAGCTGGAGCCTTGGAGGAAAGCACGGAACCTGCAGGGAGTGGGGGATGATGCTTTTGCTGAGAAATGTCCCCCACAGGCTCCTGTGTCTGAATAGCTCCTGCTGGTGGTGCTATTTGGAGAGGTTATAGACCTTTTAAGAAGTACAGCTTTGCTGGAGGAAGTATGCCACTGGGGGTGGTCTGTGAGGGTTCACAGCCTCACCTACTTCCTGCTTGCTCTCTCTGCTTCCTGCTCCTGCCACTGTGCCTTCCTCTCAGTCATGGACTCTAGCCCTGTGGAACCGTAACCCCCAATAAACCCTTCTGTAAAGTTGGTTTGGTCACAATGTTTCCTATCAGTAGCAGAAGAGTAACGCCAGCACTGAACTCTGGAGAGAAGGGTGAGGCAGGATCAAGTGTGGCCTCGTTGGCCTTAGTGTTGGACTTAGCTTTCATTCCGGAGGTTACAAGGCAGAGCCCCGGGAGTCTTAGAAAATGGACGTTATTTTTAAAGGCTCACTGTGGTTCTTGTCTGAAAGTTGGGAAAGGCAGGAGAAAAGGCCCTGGAGGTGGATGCTACCACCTGCCATCCTGAAGAGCATCAGTGGGGCTGATGGGCTGACAGAGTGATGAGAAGCCACTGTCCAGATGTGTCTTACGGGTGGGCGCTAGGGCTCGTCCGTCAGCCTTCTATGTTCCATCAAAGCACTTGTACCTTGAGTAAATAACTTACGACATTTTTGTAGTTTTTTTCTTTTTTTTTGGTCTCTGTGTGTGGTGTGTGTGTGTTGGGGGTATGCTGGGGTGTACTGGGATATTTGGGGGAGGGGTTTCAGGTCCAAATTCAGGCTGCATTGATACAGCGGCATTTAAGGCCCATTAAGAAAAAGAGTACTTCCTGTGGTCAGGAAAATGAAATCTTACCCTGGGTGGAGAACTAACCTAACAGTACAGCTGGGCCGGTCAATCAGGAACCTCCCCATCAGGAAGGTACAATCACTCCTAGCAAGGTAAGGTTCACCTTAGCCATGTCAAAAAGGTGAATGGTGTAATTATTCCTTTGCAAATATTTGGGTATAGGAAGGATACAGCTCTGGCTGTCCTGGAAACCACTATCTGGACCAGGCTGGCCTCAAAATCAGAGATCCACCTTCCTCTGTCTCCTGAGTGATGGAATTAAAGGCTGCTAATGAAATACTGTAATTTCCTTCCCAGGGTCCCCACATGCAAGCTTAGTCCTTACGCTGCTGTGAGGCTCAGTTGGGTCTACCCATGTTTCTGAGTCCAGACTTCTCCCCATTTTTCTCTCTCTTGCTTTACACGCAGAAACTAAGCATGCTTTTCCCGGTACTTTGGACTCCCTTACTCTTCCTCTACAGCCCCCTCCTGACTATGCTCGGCCTACAGCCATGTGGCTGCCCTCCATGCTGACTTAGCTCGGAGGACATGGCTGCTGTTTGGTTTTTAATCCTTCTCATCTTCATTCTTGCTCTATGCAGCTGCTGAGATTTACAGCTGTCCTGTCCTGGGGTCCTTTTAAACTAATGAAATTCTCCCCAAGCTTTCACTTGAATCTGTTATTTTAATAATGAGACTTAGAACTCAGGAGGGGCCCCCCATTTCCTGGGTATCAGCGCTCACACAGAAAACCCTCCTGAGCCATCTCTCCAGGCCGGTTTCTGTAGGTGAAAAACCCTGCTTTCTTCTCTCTGTGACTGTAATTCTTCAGGGCTGTGTCTTTTGTTGCTCTCTGCACCACTCCACATATAATCAGCCTATCTGTCACCGAGTAGGCAATCTACCAAATGCAGCACAGGGGCCCTTGGTTGTGGCATGGTGGCTGAGGCCATACATCCTGGAAATGGATTTTCCAGGCTCGGACTGTGATAGTCTGAACTGGCAGCCTGAACGTGAGCTTGTGGCTTGCTCTGGTGTCTTAATTTATAGCATGGGTCACAAGAATACTTCCTTTTTGTGAGGATGAGGTAAGCACAGCGAGCTCGTTAGTACATCTGACATGGAGTGAGCACTGCTGAGTGCTGAGTAAATGAACATGAGATCCGAGCTCAAAGTCTCACTCTCCACTTCACTAGGACAGTGACATCCCAGGGCCTTTAAACACCGCTCTGCGTGGAAGAAAACTGTACTTCCTCACAGAAAGTTTTGAGTTAAATAACTCATATTCAACAGTTAACAAACTTGCTAATTTCCCAAGAAGTCTGCGCCTAGACTGTGGCCCTCTGGAGCAGCTGAGAGCGAGGGGCAGCCCTCTTTCACGAGAACATGTGGCAGTAGGCGGAGGCTGCTGACTGGGGACTTGTTTCCTCTTGAAGAATCCCAATAGAAACCTAAAATAAAGTGTTCTCCCACAGCCTGTCTGCTCGGCCAGATCTCCCAGCCTCACTCCATTTTCTCTGAGCTCTGGAGCTCAGGCATCTGGGGAGGTATCTGCACTGTATCAGGCTGGGGGATGGGGTGAAGGAGCTTGGCGTTCTGACAGGCATACCACTGGGGACCCCAGAGAGCAGCAGGAGGAATGAGTGCCTGTTCTATTCCTGTCCCTTCTTTCCTTCCCGTCACAGAAGCCACACACTCTCCAGGGGACAGATGAGGGATAGCCCCTGAAGACTGAGGGTTGAGGAGAGGTGGGATGATGCGGAAGAGAGATCCCTCCCACTTTTTAAAATGGCAGGGTGGGCCTGAAGTTCCGTCAGATGCAGGGATGCCTTGGGGGTTGACGCGCCTCCTCAGCCACTGCTCACTAACATGCCGGGCCTCCAACAGTGGCACAACTTACTCATGGAGTAAGGTGAGCAAGCACAGGCCTTGGGGTCCTGTAGACTTCCAGGAGGCCCTTTACTGTGCAATGGCCAGCAGGACTATGAACCACAACTCACCAAGGTGACTACAGGAACACACTGGTTAGAAGGGGTCCTAAGGAAATGAGGGTCTGCCTTCTCACAGCTGTGAGCGCACTCCAGAGCTGAGAACATCCGGATGCTCAGTCTCTACATACACATACAAGGGGCACGTGTGCCTGAGGGGGCGTAGCAGGACTTGTGGCATGCTTTTGGGGCCTCTAAGTTACTCTGAGCTGTTTATGCCCCAGGCAGTCTTGTTAGTGAGGGCAGACGCTGTAGGACCTCTCACCCCACAGGGGGGCGTTGCACTGCCGTACTTGGCATTTCCTGAACGTGCAGGCAGGGCCGGCAGCCAGGGTGGCCCAGCCTGGCGTCACTTGGTCACCTCCCCAACGCTTGGTGACATTACGGGCACCCCAGTTTACAAGGCTTTGGTGTGTCCCAAACATGTACCTGAACAGTTAGGGGCCAGTCATATGTTCCTCTTCATGGCCGCAGGCTGCAGTACTACAGAGCCCGCACTTACTGTCTGCCTACACCCCTCTTCACAGGCACACTTTCTGGCTAAGGTGGCTTCTTTCTTGTTAAAGGGGCTCTTTTGTGTTGTGGGCGCAGCCGTGCTGATGGTTGACATTTACATTATACACACTGGTGACGCCTATGGTCACAGGCTGCGGGATGGGGGTGGGGAGCTTGGCTTTCTGACAGGCATACCACTGAGGACCCCAGAGAGCAGGACGAGGAATAAGTGCCTGTTCTATTCCTGTCCCTTCTTTCCTTCCCGTCACAGAAGCCATGCACTCTCCAAGGGACACATGAGGTCCGTCTTGTCCAGGTCACACACCTGGACAAGGTGGGCTTAGGGCTAGAGCACAGCACTGCCCCTGGCTGTAAGCCTGGCTGCATGCGCCGAATATCAACTGTGTCTGTCTGTGGGAAGGTCAAAGTTCCAGCCCATGGAGAAAACAGCTCATCTGAGCAACACGCTGGGCCAGACCGTCCCATCAGGCTCGATCCCCGAAGGTGTGAGGACTTTTTCTCCCTTGTCTTTGGGGGTGGTGGTGGTTCGTTCTGAGAACTCTCTCATGGTGAGAGTAGCTTTTGAGATTCTAAGTCATAAACATCATCTGCTGCAAGAATAAATGCCCAAGGACTCCTTGAAGCTCGGTCACAGCTCCCAGCGGAGGATGCCTGGTGGTGTGTTTTATACTTTGTGTCTCTTGCACACAGTTTATCTTTGACCCTCATAGGTGACCCTGACCATTTTAGACAGGCTCAGAGTGAGAACAATGACCGAGAAAGTAGCTTAGGGAGGCTCTACAGCCTGATGGCTGACTATCAGCAGAGGCCGCCCCTATTGTAGGAAGCAGGGAGAGCCCAAAGCACAGCGTGATGCCAAGTGTCTATGAGCTGGTGCAGCTGCGGGGCTGTGCCGAGACGGGAGGAGGGCTGTGCTGCCTTACCCGAGGTGGACGGCCCGGATGTGCTTCTGGATGCCTGCTGCCGTGTTCAGCACCTTGCCACAGTTCTTCCAGAGGCATTTGAACATCACCTTCATGGAGTTCTACAGAAAGGAGCGGAAACAACATTACGATGCAAGCAAACCTATCCAGTTGCTTTCTTGTCCCCCCCCTGCCCAACAGCTCACCATGTTCTTAACAACTGAATTCTTAATCCTTGGGCTTTCCCAACCGGTAAGGAGCTGCGTAAGCTCAGCCTCCTTCCATTTCTTCATGAGAACCAAGCTTTGCTGCTTATTTAAGTTACATTCAAAGGTGTCCCCGTGGGACTTTCCGAGCACTTATCCAGTCCTCAAGGCTGGATGCTGCTGGTAGCCTCCACGTTACAGAAAGTTTCAGCGTGTCTGCTCCGGAAGCCAGCCTTCACCAGCCAGCACACAATCACACAATGTCCTTCATGTAGCATTCCACAAGGGCCTCCTGGCACAGTGACCGAGCCCACCGTGAGCCTCACCAGGCCACCTCGTGGACTTGTCCTGTTGACCACAGCATCACAAAATAGGAATGCTAACGAAACCCCTTGTAGATGAGTATGGGTCTCAATGACATCATGGGTCGGGACCAGCAGAGCAGCACTGGGGACAATCACCCACTAGAGGAGCTGTCATGGAATTATTGTCACGTTCTGGACTGCATCTTTAAATTTTTGTAGTGCCTCGCACAGGACTCAGGTGCACGGCAAGAGCTCTACCATGGCCCTGAATTCCCCAGTCACTCACTCTGTGTGTTTGTATGCACGCATGTATACATATGAGGGTGCGGTGGTTTGAGTGAGAACGGACCCCAGGGCTGTATATCTGAATACTTGGTCTCCAGGGAGCAGCGCTATCTGAGAAGAATTACGAGGTGTGACCTTGTTGAAAGCGTGCCACAGAGTGGGAATCGAGGTTTCAGAAGCCCAGGTCATGACTCTCTCTGCCTATGGATCAAGAACTCTCAGCTACTTCTCCAACACCACATCTGCTTGTGTGCCGCCCTCTCTGCCGTGATAACAGACTAACCCCTGCCACTTTAAGCTTTTTTTTGGTCTTAGCCATGGTGTCTCTTCACAGCAATAGAACACTGACTAAGACAGAGGGTGTGGCTATGCGATGGGGTCAGGAGCTCGTTTTCTCCTTCTACCATGTGGGTCCCAGGAATCAAGCGCAGGTCCTCAGGCTCGGGTAGGCTACGTCTGCTCAGCCTGTAGCTTCAGTGCACTGAAACACTGACCAATTTGCAGCCCTTTGCTGCCGTCGTGCGACATGCAAGATAACTCAATTTGGGGTAACAGCAGTGGTAAAAGGGGTTCTCTCTTATGCATGTATGACTGTGTGTGAGGGACACTGGTATGTGCACATGGAGGCACACGTGAGGAGAAGACAACCTTGGGGCTGTTCCTCAGGCGTCACCTACCCGTCTTTTGATGGAAGGTCTCTTACTAACTTAGAACTTGGGGCTGCAAGCAAGCCCCGAGAGCTGCCCTGGGATTACAAGTGGGTGCCATGGAGTCTGGCTTTTGTGCATCTTTTATACATTTGGTTCTACCTGGGAGACGGAACTAAAGTCCTCACAGCAAACACTTCAGCAGCTAAGCTACCTTCTTAGCCCAGAAAACAGTTTCTGGACATGCAATGACCAAAACTCAGTATCAAATGCACAATAATTCTGAGATGTTTCTGGGAGCCCTTACACGTGGGGTATTGCCTAGGCTCACTGTAGGCTTTGTTCTCAAACACACACACACATGCACGCACTCACATACGCACATGCACACACATGCCATCATGCCACCTAACGGCAGCACACCCGAACACCTTAGCCCGGGCTCGACACGAGGACACGGTGTGAACTGAAGTGTTTCACTGCACATTCCAGGTTTTCTTCGACAGAAACACACGCGGCTTAATCGTGTAAAGTAAAGCTGTTTTTATTCTCATTCCGAAGAAGGTAAGCATCAAATTACTGCATCTTTCAACTCTATTAAGGCATTTGATTTCAAAAATTCATGTTTGATTGCCCTCCAAATTCCAGTCTCTACACCCACAGTCCAGCGCAATTCTTAGACCTCACCAGAGAAGTTTTTTGTGCAGTTGATGGAAGTTGATACACAAACTGATACTAGGTCAAAGTGCAGAGAGTAAGTGACTGTGGTGTGCTCAGCCAGAAGCTGGGCATCTGCCTCACACTCTTGCCCATGATGCTCAGGGACCATCTCTGACGCAGGAGGGGGAAAGACTGTAGGAGCCAGAGACTGGGGAGGGCTCCAGCAAAGCAGTGTCTTCTGGGCATGTAAAGACTGTTGCACTCATGAAGTCACAGCTGTTGAGGCTGCGGTATAAGGCTTGCTCAAGATCAAGCCCGTCAGCGTTCCATCATGAATGGGCCCTGCCTCGAGCCGAGAAGCCACTGAGAGCTGCTGGCTGCTGGAAAACCGTAGGGTCTGTTTTCCTCAAGTGCATGACTTCTGGTCAGCCTAACTAACAGATGGTCCTACACCTCTGCAAATGTGGGCAGCATTAGGCTCATTATAATTTTAAAAAAGCCTTCTGAATGGATCTACCATCTGCAGACCAAGCCTTCGAGGCGCATGCTTCTTGGAGGAGGTGTGTTCAGAGGGGTGAGGGCTTCACAGTCAGACTGTAACAGAAATGCAGAAAGAGATCCATTTCACCAATCTTTAGGCTGGTGATGGGGATTAGTTAAATTAGTCCCTGAGGTGGTGAGAAAGCAAATGCCCCCACAGGCTCAGGTGTTTGAATACTTGGTCCCCAGCTCATAGCGCTGTTAGGATAGGCTTAGGAGGCGTGGCCTTGCTGGAGGAAGTATGTTACTGGGGGAGAGTTCTGAGGCTTGAAAGCCTGGTACCATGCCAAGGGTGCTCTCTGCTTCGTGCTGTGGTTCAAAACGTGAGCTCTCAGCTTCTTGCTCCTGCCGTTGCTTCACTATCATACACCCTACCTCTCTGAAACCATGAGTCCAATAAACTCTTTCCTCACTTAAGTTGCCTTACTCTTGGTGTGTTTACACAGCAGCAGAAATACCATGGGGTTCCATCCATGCATACCAAGTATACTAAAAGGCTGTAATTTACTCGTAATTCCTTAATTTCTTTTTGAAAAGCCTGTATTCTTAGTTATGCGTGTGGGCTTGTTTGTGTGCTCTATGGCTGTGGAGGTGTCCGGTGAAGCCAGAAGAATGTGCTGTGTCTCCTTCGGCTGCAGTTAGAGCAGCCGTGAGCTGTCTGATGAGGGTGCTTGGAACAGAACCCAGATCTTCCCCGGCAGAGCCCTGAGTGTTCCGAACTGCAGAGCCGCCTCTCCAGCACTGTACTTTCTGTTTCCTCCCAGCCACCTCAGCAGCTCCCATGTCCTAAGGGAATTCTTAACCTGCCGTTTGACTCTGCAGGCTACTCTGCTCTGCTCTCTACCCTTGCTCAGTGCTCCAGGAAGTTCAAAGGCCTCCTCTCCATGGGTTTTCTGGTTGGATGTGGCCAATGGCTGGGAGGTAAGGCCGGAGAAAATCCTGATTGCCCTGGCTCCCTTTTGGTTGGCCCCAGCTGTGTGTGTGTTACATTTCTCTTCGAAAGTTGCCATTTCTTCTAGAGTTCTGGTTATTCCCAGGTTCTGGTGGTCCCCCTGGTCACGTGCTTCTTCATGCTGTGGAGGTGCAGGGGTGGGCTTGCCTATCAGACCCTGGGTTGTCCCACCAGCCCTGTTCACTCCTCCATCCCCACCATCTGAGTGTGCCACGGCCCCCTGCCAGAACTTGAACAATTAAAAGGAAATACAGGCTAAACAAGAACATTTTTTTTGTGGGAGAGAGGAAGTGGTAATGTGATGTTTTCAGTTATTTCTAAGTTTTTTACGATAGTAAAAGTTTATAAATTAAAAACAAAGACTGGGCATTTAATCCCAGCATTCAAGAGTTCAACCTGGTCTACATAGTGAGTTAGGACAGTCAAGGCTTTGAGAAACCCTGTTTCAAAACAAAACAACAACAAAAAACAACCAAAAACCTGGGGAAGATATTTTTATGTTATGCTTTTTTAGAGTTTTCCTGTTATATTTGTTGGTTTTCTGAGGATTGAACCTAGGGCTCTGAGTGTGCTTGGTAAATACTATACACTGAGATCCATAGCTACCTATTTTTAACTTTTTTTTTCTTGTTTTTCGGTTTATTGAAAATATGACAGAACATATTTAAATGGCTCCATGTGGTGTTCTGAAATTCATCCCAACTGAGTGACTTGCAGGTTAGAGAGACTGCCAGAGTCCAGAAGCTTCGGCATTTCCTTGGTGTCAGGATCTACCTCCGCAATCTCCTGATCTAGGGCTGAGAACTCTCTCTCTTCTTCCTGCAACTTGATAGAGATACCTCTCACAGGACCTCTCTGAATCCGCTTCATCAGATGCCTGACATAGCCGGCTATCTTGTTGCAGACTTTCTTGCTGAGGATAACGGTGCTCTCCTTGCACACACGCTTGTTGGTGTGGAAGTCATTACCCAGGCGTGTGTAGGACTTCTCAATGATGACTGGGCTGCCCTCTTCACAGTCTTAGGGCGAACTCAGCCCATGTTGGCAGGTCTCGGTAAAAGGGCTATTTTTAACTTTTAAAAATTATTTCTTGTCTGGACAGCTTGGTACACACCTTTAATACCAGCACTTGGAAAGCAGAAGTTATGTGAATCTCTGTGAGTTTGAAGTCAGGCTGGAACACGGAGTTCCAGGCCAGACAGTACTATATGCTGAGATCCTGCCCCAACATGAAACCAAACCAAACCAAATCTGACTTGCTTACCTAAATTTGGAGGAAAGCAAAATAACAGAAGGACTGTCTCAGCTGCAATGGGCTTGAGCAGCTTTGCTCTAGCCAAAGGTGTTCATCCCTCAAGGCCAGTGCTACTCGATTGGTAGCTTAATTCTTTTCTAGATTTCCTCCCCTCACTCTATCCATTTGAAATCAACCCTCTGCCCACAAACAGACTACTTTCTGCAATGCTGGAGCAAAGCAAGCCACGGGGGGAGGAGAACATGAGAAAAATAGCTAAATCAACAACACCC